TGTTTTTGTCGAGTCGACATGTTAATCCAAGAAATGATAATTTGGGTGACGATTTTAGACTCCGATTTCGTGATGTCAATCCATTCGTTCACCTATATTATAACACGAAAATTAATAGCGGTTTAAACTGCACATCCAAAAGCTTCCTGAAAAACTGAGGCATTACAATTTGGGTTTCGTATGTCCTCGTTTTGGTGAAGTTGTTCATTCCGGACGCCCGTTTACAAGCTCCGGACACAAAGGGTGCGTGATGACGACGCAGTTGGCTGTTACGGTGACTTGGTCCGTTCCTCCGCACCCAAGAATTCACCGACATTTAAGAATTCATCGATATTATCTACAACACCAAAAAGAGGAGTAGGATTTAGTAATAATTTGTTTCTAATAATTTGATTCAAATTCGTTTTTGACGAGAATCGAATCTAAAGACGTATATGGTTCAAATTCGTTTTTGACGAGAATCGAATCTAAAGACGTATATGGTTCGTTTAAGATGTATAATTTAGAAGGAAAGAGGAATTCTACTGGATAGCAGAAGTTACTGGATCGTAGTACGTAGCAGAAGTTTGTTTTGGTTGAATTAAAAAGATAGAACATGGTCTCTTACTTACTAGAGACCAGAAACTTCTTTAGAATTTTCCGTTTCTCCGCTGCTGTAGGGTAGGGTAGGCCCATGTTTTTGTCTCCATTTTCTTCTGCCCACTTGCGTGCTTACTGGGGAGAGATTAAGGAATACGGGTCGGACGGAACACAACGTGTCCACACTGGAAATAAGTTCTGCCTCCACTTTTATTTTTTATTTTATTCCTAAAAAAGGTAAATTAATATCAGTAATTATTTATTAGAAACAAAGGAAAACAAAAAACAGCAGTCTTATTATGATTAGGAAATTGTTATTAGTACTCTTAAATTCTCAGTTAACACTCTAAATTTTTTATTTTAGAAAGAATAATACTCTTGTGAGGAATACAAAATGAGATTTTTAAAATGCTAATAATAGTATCCTCTGATTATTTCTTTTTTCATGTTCTTCGAGTCTGACTCATCTTGACCCAAATGTTGGGTTTTGAAGTGAGAGGTATTTAAAATTTTAGAGTTTAAATCTCGTAAATTGCGGGTTTTATACCATTGCCGAAATAGTAAAATGTGGCATGTTAGATTTCAGTCCCCTTGTCGAAGATAAAGAAATAATTTGTGTTTAATAACATGAACATATAAATCATATATCAATGATATAAGATGCCCGATCACCTGTAATTAAGTATTAAAAAGTAATCATTTATGCTAATTGTCGGGATCGCCACGATGGTAGGCTAAGTGTATGAGAGATTCTTCTGGTCAGATATTATTTGTAGGGGTGGGCGCGGTGCGGTTTCGAGTGAAACCACAACCGAAATCGAAACTTTTTGCGGTGCGGTGCGGTGCGGTTTTGAAGCCAAAACCGAAATGAAACCAAACCGTTTGGTTCGGTTCGGTGCGGTTTCAAACGGTTTCGGTTTGGTTTTTGAGAAAAAAATGTACAATTTAAAATATACACATATTTATGCATAAGATGGTCTTATTTTCCTTGAATATTAATTAATGAATATGCACCAAAATTGCACCAAAAACAGCAGCACAACCAAAGACTGCAACTGCACCAAAATCTGCCAAAACCAACACCAAAGAACTGTACCAAACCTGCAGCAAAAAACTGCACTGAAACTGCAAGCAGCAAAAAACTGCACAAAAACTGCACAAAAAACAGCAGCAGCTACCACAAAAACTGCACAAACTGCACAAAAAACAGCAAACTAAACTGCAGCAAAAATTACACCACAAACTGCACCAAAACTGCACCAAAAAACTGCACGAAAACGCATCACATAATTCACATCTACTAAAATTCAACTTGAGAAAGAAAGCAAAGCAGCTTTGAATCTCAGCTGTTGAATACTCTGTTCTTCCTCCCCAACTCCTCCATAACTCCCATAAGAGAAATTTTCTGCGACCACTTTCCAGCAGCTGCAAAAAAGATATCAAACTTAAATACGAATTCCAAAAACAAAGCAAAAGAGTGCATTTGGACGTTGGTTTGGGTGCAGAGGTGGTGGAGGGAGGGTGGGTCGGTGGACCAATGGTGTAGGTGGTGAAGATGGGGATGGATGGTGATGGGTTCGGGTGGGCTGCCCATTTAAGGGTTTGAGTTAGTTTGGTTGGGTTGCTGCCAGCTAAAGCTAGAGCCTTGAGAGGGAATGTGGGTGTATTGAGAAATAGGACAGATCAGATTGGGGAAATTAGGGGTTTTGATGGAGAAGAAGGGGAGGGGGAGAGAAATTAGGTTGAGAAGGGAAGCTGCCATTTCGTGAGGAATGACAGATACAATCCCCCAAAACATGCACCCACTCTATGCGACCAAACCCCTCTCCTCTTTCCCCAAAATCCCAAAATCACGCCCCCAAATCTCTGCGTCCAACCCCCTCTCCTCTCTCCCCCAAATCACGAGATCAGATCTTCTGCACCTAAACCCCTCTCCTCTCTCCTCTGTCCCCCAAAATCACGCCCCCACCCTTCGGCCCCAAAAACAACAGTGCAACCGGCTGTTTTGGGTGATGCACAACCCACGCATAGACAATGGCAGAAACATAATTAATTCAAAATCAAGTTTATTGAGTTGATTGTAGATGATATTTTTAAGAAATTGTTCAACATCTCATCAAGTGAAAGGGGACAAATAACTAAGAAATTATCTTACCATATTAGCTGGTAAGCAATGACTCAGTGAGGTCGCAAGGCAAGGCAGAGATGAAAGCAAGCAGTGACTCAGTGACTCAGTGAGATCGCAAGCAGAAGCAGTCGCTCGCAGGCAGCCGCAGAAGCAGATGCAGAAGCAGTCGCGACTTGCTCGTAGGCAGGCAGGCAGAAGCAGTCGCTCGCAGGCAGGCAGGCAGAAGCAGATGCAGCAGGCAGTCAGGTGACCAGGTCGCAAAGGCAGATGCGGAGATGCAAGGAGGCGGCACAGAAGTAGTCACTGAAAGTGCAAACCCACTTGGTGCAAACCCAGAACCGCAAAACCAAATGTATAAGTATAACCTAGTTGAATGAACTAAATAAAAATAAAAAAGTGCGGTTTCGGTTTCGGTTTCGGTGCGGTTTTGAAAACCCAAAACCGAAACCAAACCGTTTTGTGTGCCGCGGTTCGGTTTTGAAACCGAAACCGTTTCAAAACCGCAAAACCAAACCGTTTGGTGCGGTTTGATTCGATTCGTGTTTCGGTTTCGGTTTTCGGTTTCAAGTGCCCACCCCTAATTATTTGTCTTTAAAATGTCATTTTTCCCGAGCCACCGCAAAAGGCATTCTACAAAACACTGCTCCCCTCCCTCCATATATTTTTGTGCACAACACTTTTATTCTTGGGTAAATTACATAGTAGCCCCTCAGGTTTGAGGTATATTGCAATCTTATACAATATCTTTAAAACATTTCACTTTCATATCTCAAGTACTATATTATTTCAATTTCATACAACCGTTACATTTTTCATCCATGGATCTGTAAAATGCTGACGTGGCTGCCACATATATGCCACGTGATTGCCAAATGTCTGCCACGTGGCAAATAAAATAATTTTTTAATTTAAAAAAAAAAAACCTGTCTGCCACTTTTTTTTTTCTTCTTCTTCCTCATCCTCCTCTTTCTTCTTCTCTTCTTCTTCCTCCTTCTGGTTCGGTCCCTTCTTTTTTTTTTTCTTCTTCTTCTTCTTCCTCCTCCTCATATTTCTTCTTCTCTTCTGGGTTCGGTCCCTTTCTTTTTTTTTCTTTCTTCTTCTTCTTCTTCTCCTTCTCCTCTTCTTCTTCTCTTCTCTCTCCTCTTTTGGTTCGGTCCCTTCTTTTTTCTCTTCTTCTTCTTCCTCCTCCTCTCTCTTTCTTCTTCCTTCCTCTTCTTCTTCTCTTTCTGGGTTCGGTCCCTTTTTTTTTTTCTTCTTCTTCTTCTTCTTCCTCCTCCTCCTCTTTCTTCTTCTCTTCTTCTTCTTCCTCCTTCTGGTTCGGTCCCTTTTTTTTTCTTCTTCTCTCTCTCTTCTCTTCTCTTCTTCTCCTTCTTCTCTTCTTCTCTTCTTTCTCTCTGGGTTCGGTCCCTTTTTTTTTTTTTTTCTTCTTCTTCTTCCTCCTCCTCCTCTTTCTTCTTCTCTTCTTCTTCTTCTTCTTCCTCATTCTGGTTCGGTCCCTTCTTCTTCTTTTTTTTTCTTCTTCCTCCTCATCTTTCTTCTTCTCTTCCTCCTCTTTCTTCTTCTCTTCTGGGTTCGGTCCCTTTCTTTTTTTCTTTTTTTTTCTTTTTTTTCTTCTTCCTCCTTCTGGTTCAGTCCCTTCTTCTTTTTTTTTTCTTCTTCTTTTTCCTCCTCCTCCTCTTTCTTCTTCTCTTCTAGGTTCGGTCCCTTTTTTTTTTTTTCTTCTTCTTCTTCTTCCTCCTCCTCCTCCTCTTTCTTCTTCTCTTCTTCTTCCTCCTTCTTCTTCTGGGTTGCAGGGGTTCGGTCTTTTTTTTTTTTTTTTTTCTTCTTCCAATTTCAGGTTTTTTTTTTTTAAAAAAAAAATTATTTTATTTACCACGTGGTAGACATTTGGTAGCCACATGACATATATGTGGCAACCACGTCAGCATTTAACAGATCTATGGATGAAAAATGTAACGGTTGTATGAAATTGAAATAAAATAGTACTTGAGGTATGAAAGTGAAATGTTTTAAAGATGTTGTATAAGATTGCAAATAGACCTCAAACCTAAAAGGTTACTATGTAATTTACCTTTTATTCTTTGTCAATAACGTGAACTTGGTACATATTTACATTGTGATGTAATTATATATCGATGACTAAATATTTCTCGCCATGTTTCAATAGATAATTTTGTAACTAAATATTTATGTCGTGATCAAAGATCTCAAAGATCGTTATGTTGCTCATATTTAATTATTATCACATCCTAATTTGTAACATTTATCTCAGTTTTTTTTTTTTTTCTTCCTTCCTTGCAGTTCCATCGCTTTCGTAAAATTTCGGCCGTGTTCGTAGGTGGTCGATAACAACGACCTAACTCGGTCACCCGCTCCCCTTATATTCTAAACCCCCCCATAATTCCACAGCTCCGTTTCTTCTTCCAATCCCAATTCTGCTATGGTTGTCGCCGCTGCCCCCGCCACCTCCTCCGCCAGCGGCGCCGCCCCTATGTGCAGGACCAAAAAGAGCACGCAGGCGATTGAGCCCAAGAGCCCCAATCAACACCGAAAATCCTCCTCCTCCTCTGTCCCCGACCCCTCCTTCGCCCATTTCAGCACCAACGACAACAACTCCAGCTACAACTTCTCCAAATCCTCCACCTCCTCCTCTGTCCCCTCCCTCAGATCCTTCAAAGCCTCCCTCCCTGAAAACCCCCAAATCTACGACTTCTCCGAGATCCGCTCCGCCACCTCCAACTTCCTCCCCCACGGCCGCCTCTCCTCCTCCTCCACCTCCTCCTCCTGGCGCTGCTCCCTTCGATCTAAAGACGCCGTCATCTTCCAGCGCAAATCCCGCATCCCCATCTCCCTCCCCGACCTCCAGCGCCGCCTCTCCCTCATCTCCAAATCCCACCACTCCAGCCTCATCAAGCTCCTCGGCGCCTCCCTCTCCGGCAGCTACGTCTACCTCGTTTACGAATTCGTCGCCGGCGCCAGCCTCGCCGACTGCCTCCGCAACCCGAAGAACCCGAGCTATACCGTCCTATCGTCGTGGCTCTCCCGGATGCAGATCGCCACCGACCTCGCCCACGGCCTCGATTACATGCACCACGGCTCCGGCCTCGACTCAACCTTCGTCCACAACCACATCAAGAGCTCCAGCATCATCGTCTCCGAGGAGGACAACCTCGTGCTCGGCGCCAAAATCTGCCATTTCGGCACGGCGGAACTCTGCGGCGAGACCCAGGCTCGGTCGACGAAACTGGAGGGCACGCGCGGGTACATGGCGCCGGAGTTTCAGCTCACCGGAATCGTGACCCAGAAGTGCGATGTCTACGCTTTTGGGGTCGTGCTATTGGAGCTGATCTCCGGGGCGGAACCGCTGAAGTACATAATGGACGAAAGTGGCGCCGACGGCGTGTATAGGAGGGTGAGTGTGATTGAGTCTGCGAGGGAGGCGGTGAGGAGTGGGGCACGTGGCGGGGTAAGGAGGTGGGTGGATAGGAGGCTGAAGGACTCGTTTCCGATGGATGTGGCGGATAAAATGGTGCTGGTGGCGTTGGAGTGTGTGGAAGAGGATCCGGATAGGCGGCCGGATATGGATCGGGTAGCGGGTTTGGTTTCGAAGCTGTTTCTGGAGTCGCATAGTTGGGCGGAGAAGATGGGCGTGCCTATCGACATCTCGGTTTCATTTGCCCCGCGCTGATTTTTTCTGGGGGTTCGGAATTAATTTGGATTTTGGTTTTTTTATTTTTTATTTTTGAGGTTTTACATTCGATTTGATTGATCAAAATCGTAAATAATTTTGATGATGTGAATAATTATACATACAAAGTCGAGAGGATTGATTAAATAGTTAATAGAAACAAAGAATTTACAGAAATTTGATCTGGTTGATGTGTTGCTCCTACATTTCTCTCTAATTCCATCCCATTATTCACTCTCCCTCCACCCAAAAACAAAATCTAAAAAAAAAAAAAAAAACAAACGAAAGAGTTATCAGACGCTTATTTGTTTGATTTTGATTGTATGACCGGATGAACGTATATAGTGTTAACCCTAAAGTCCTGCATTGATTTTTCAGTCTAGTTTTGCCTTTTTTAACTCAGTACGCTACTCTCTTACAACACTTAGTTTAACTTCAAGAGCTTGGTTAATCTCCCTTTCTTTTGGTGGGAAAAACAATTAGGGTTAAAATATGTTACAAGTAGGGTAAGTGGAAAATTTTTGTAGTGGAGAAAAGGGACGAAAAGAAGAGCAAAGCGAAAGCGAGTGGTGAGAGGTCTCGTGGTATGCTTGACTTTTTATAAGTGAAAAGTTTGAGATTTGGCTTGCATAAATAATGAGTTAACTATCTAACTATTTTGTATAAAAATTAATAAGTTGTTTGATAGCCATTTTATTTTCTGTTTCAATTGAAAAATAAAAACTACTCGTTTAGTAATTACTTTTAGTACAACCAAACAATAAAATCTACTCTCTTGAGTTTTTGTATTTTGGCTTTCAATTTTTTTTGTTAGTTACCAATATTTTCTTTATATGAAATTAAAAATTGAAAACGAAAAGGTTATCAAACGGCTTCTAAACCATCCATCTAACTCTCGATTAGATAAATAAACACAGAAATTGTCACAGCCCGTCCCAAGAATTAATTATCGTGGTTGTGAAAAGACAGATTTAACCTTGAGCGTTGGATGTGTGTTTGTGTTTTGGGTTAAGGAATTGGGTCAATTAGTTCTATTCGTAACTAATTAGACCCAATTAGAACAAAAGGATTAAACAAATTTGATTGGTGTGTATTTTTGGACCACACACACATCCATACCCATTTCTCTCTCTTCTCTTCCGTGTTATCTCTCTATCTCTCAGACTCTCTCTTCTCCGTCTCGGCATTGTGTACGGACAAACACCAAAACCCATTCAAACTTCGTAGATCAATGACGTTGAAGGTACCATTGTGTTCCTTGCAAGCTCAGGAACACATCTAGACCATTTTCAGGTAATGACAACTTTGTCTTCACGTCGAAACATAACCCCGATTTGGGGTACTGTTCATGCAAACGTTAAATCTTGTGTTTTTGGAAATTTCAAGCTCATAAGAAGCTTAAGGAGGTCTTCACGAGTCTCAGGGTACTTCGTTGGAAGGAAATGGACGTCGGAGGGCCGAGATCGAAGCTCGTCTAGGTAAGCCGAACTATCGAGCTTTCCCTAGGAAAAATGTAGCAGTTTTTAGATCTTAAAACTATTATAACGTGATTGTGGATGTCCCTAGCTTCATTTTGGTACAAATTTCATGAAAAATGGTTAAGAAACGAGCGAGAATAGACGTTTTAAAGTTTTACTCAGTTTTCCGGAGACCGGCGACTCGTCGGAGAAGATGACGGCATATTCCGTCAGTTTGGACGGAATATGCTGACGCCGTCAGTCAGTTTTAACGAAATATTCCCTAACGGCAGTTAGGGAATCCGTCAGTGCGCCTGCGCGTGGGCCGCGCGTGATGGCGCGTGAGCCATAGAAAAATTATTTTAAAAATATCACGATGTTCGTGAGGTTGTGTAGGTCACGTTGGTATATTCATATACCCATTTTGAGCTATGTATGAGAAGTTATTAGCTAGTTTTGCCTATGTGCTTTAAAATAACGTTTTTAAAGTTAATTCGCATATAGGTGAAACTTATCCCGAGGACAAGCGTATCCACGGGCGACTTGGGGGTTACGACCTGTCGACATACCAGTGAGTGAGCTTTTGTTTTCAGTATATATTTATATACTTGGTATATTTCCCAGAAATGCATTTTTAAGGAAAGTATGCTTTGAAATAATATGTCAAATGCTTTTATATTCTGAATATGCATTTCATGGTTGCATATATATATATATATATATATATATATATATATATATATATATATATATATATATATATATATATATAGATGTGGTGTTGTGAAGGCACATGTAAGTTCAAGTAAGTTATGTTTGGCTATGTGAATCATCGATGATGTGATATGTGATTGATTGATGTTGAGCTCATAAAACTGCACCTAGGGTGATTGTGATTTAGCCAGAGATCTGAAGTACATGCCTGTTTATTTATGTCACCTCCCGCACTATATGCTCATATTGGATCCAAATTAAGTGCACAGTCTTGTCGCATAAACCTTATTTATGGTTCCGACTTGTAGGTGACTAGCGATTTATCGCCCGTCTATTATGAGATAGTAAAATTGAGCATAATTATATTACACCCAATCTTGTCGTACAGACCCATTTTTAGTGGTTCCGACTTATGTGCAGTATATTGTCGTATAAGTCATTGTAGTGACTTCGGCTAGATTGACTTTGAGCTATGAATTCAGCCGTACAGACTACCACAGGGGTTCCGGCTAACATATCATATTTCTATGAATTTATTCTTACCTGAATTGCTTACTCTGTTATATATTGGCATGACATATATTTGAATATGATTATGTGAATCATGAATTGAATTGATATGATTTCATATATATATATATATATATATTATGTATATGCTTATATTCTGATTCTGGGAAAAATTATATATGTTTTACAACGAGGGGTTAGATATATTGATAAAGAAAATGATTTTGTAAAACATTTGTTTTTGCCCACTCATGTTTTCTGTTTTGTGTCCCTACAGGTTTTAAGTAAGCTTGTTGTTGGTGGCTTGAGGATGTCGACGGTTCTAACCTATCTAAATAATAGTAGGACATTCCTGGTACTGTATAATTAGTACTTGTCCTACTGGACTGCACCTAGATTTAATATGCTCTGATTATGAGTGTTTACTGTTGTAACTAACTCCTATTACTTCCTGTTTAGTAGTGCACTCTAGTATTTCAGTTTTTAATTATTCGTATAATTCTTATCTTTATTGCTTCCGCATTGTGCATATGACTACGTCACTCTCATGTGACAACCAGCATGCCTTGATCTCAGTCGGGGTGTGTCAGAAATATACTCATGTGACCTACAAAATGGTCGATTAAATGGATTGTGTAGAGAAACACCAACAAAAATCTTACAGAAGCAGACTGTTTTATCATATAAAATTCCCAGTGCATTTTGCATAGAATGTCAATTACTGGATGTAGTTCCATTTAGACTACTAATCATTCCCTTTGAACAACCTCGTCACCAACCAACTGAAATACGGCCGCCAATTTGGGGTCACTGACCTTTTAGATTTGACTATTTTCAAATTAGTAATGAGTAATCCGATATTCTTCGTTTTTAAGTAAATAAAATGCGTGTTGAGTTCTCGAGTTTGACTGTCTTTTCTTCAAACATCACTTTTATTTGTGATTAAAATAGTGTGTACATGCAGAAATATGAGCGTTGTCCTTACTAACTTAACATCATAGTCAATATAATACTTCCTCTAAATTTATTTTTGGGAGGCTAAAATAATCTTCCTCACCGTTGAAAGAGTAGACTTATGTGACAAAGTCACCAACTGATTATCTTCTGAGATTATTTTTTTATTTCACTGATATCTTTATAGGGTTTGAATAAGCTTATTTTCTTTGATCCCCACAAATAAAAGTTAATATATTTTTTATAAACAAACGATATTATCTATATTAATAAGTAAGAGGATGATTAGTCTCACAATAAGTTAGTAATAAAACGGTTTAAAACAAGAATCGAGCCTAAGAATTAGACTAAGGGGTGATTTGGGAGTGAGGTGCTTAAAAAAAAGCACCTATGAAAAAAAGCTGTGAGGATTTTAGGTGTTTGGTAAATTGAAAAAAAAAAAGCTTATTTTGAAAGCTGCTGTGAGAATAAGCTGAAATCAAAGGAAAAAGCTGAAGCTACTATTTGCAGCTTTGGAAAACTGATTTTTTTTCAAAGCACACGGAGCTACATTGCTCCTTTCATGAAAAGACACACTATCAGACTGTTTTTTTTTCCAAAACCACTTTTACAAAAATGTTTACCAAACACTCTGCTGATTTATTTCACAGCCGCTTATTCTTGCAGTACAACCGCTTATTCTTATAGCAGTTTTTTTTCAAAGCACAACAATACCAAACCAACCCTAAGTTGCACAAATAAGAGTTATATAAAACAATAAATTTGTACCAAATAAGGTTTTTTTCCTTTCTTTGTACCGGCAAGCTCAAGCAATCCAAGCAAGAACTCAACCATGGCGGCTCGAATGTTGCAGAGACGCTTAGGCTCACTCCTCCGCAGTCAGCAGCCTAACGCCCATCTCTTCAAAGGTTAGGCCCGCCCACTCAAAAACCCAACATATCTTGCTCATAAATTCTTCGCTTTTCGTAGTCGATTTTCGTGTTTTTGCCTTTTTTCGTAAAAAAAAAAAAAAAAAAAAAAAAAAAAGAAATTTTACTGTCGTTGCAATTAAAAATTTGTGGTGTATTTGGTTTGTGTGAAGGAAATTGATCGTATTACAATTTGGGTGACTGATGTATTTGGAGATTATGTTGAAGGGGATTAATTTGTGAACACTGAGTCTTGTTAGGTTTAGGGTTTACTCGTTCTCTAATTTGTGCTGATGGGTATTTGTTAACTCGTTCTAATACATGATTAGGAGAATAATTTTCTCAGATAAATGCGTATTAGTATCGCTAACATTGAACACTCAACAACTGGTGTAACAATTTTGGGAAATAGAGTTCTAAGAACTGTCTAAAGGAGATCCTTTTAAACAAGTTAATAGGACTTAATTGAATATCGAAGGTCAAATCTTGTTCATGTGATTGTAATACATTGAGCTAATAAAAACCCGCGCACAGAAAAGAGATGTGATGGAAATTCATTGTTGCTCTCTGTACTTGAGATTCCAAGAGAAACAAAACCCTGTGCAGAAACGGAGCTTCTCAAGCCTCACAAGAACAAAATCCCACATAACCTACACCATGTCTGTATGTCTGTAACTTGGAGTTTACTAACAGTTGTGTAGAAACCCCGAACCTTGAACTTGAGGTTTAACTCATGCATGCATTGCAGAATGCAAGACGTACCTAGCACTTTATGTTTTTATAGCAGGGTTGTGTGCGGGCGATGGAGAGTTGTGATATTCACAAGACTTGAATTTGTTGCCGGAAATATGATTTCAGCGTCTAAAGATAGATAATGTCGTTATGGATTTGGAAGTTCTGTTCCCGTAAAAGTAAGAAACACTTTGGATGCTGGTTCTAACACTAGTTTTTGTTTTTTAACCTCATAGCTTTACATTAATGTTAATGCCCTGTTTCTTTTGTGGAAGATTGCAAATCGAGAAAAGAAAAAGAAATCCGATGATGGAAAAGAATCCGAAGAAGTTCCCATGGATCATTTGTCAACTCCTAAATCAAATACTTCTTCGATGGGTATAATAAAATAATCATTTTGTTAGCATTCCGACGAAGAAGTCATTGATTCTTTCGATCGTATAGGGAAACTCAAAAAAAATTTGGTTATTGTTTACTCTTTTATTGATGGTGTTAGGGACAGACCAGTGTTACTTGTTTGTACGCACTCAAAACTCTGAAATGGACATCCATAGTATGTGACAACCATCAAATTAGACACAAACGACTTAGTTTTGTGAGAACTAAAAAAAAGTTGAAGTTCCTTTTGTTGCTCGATTTTCATTGAAATTCTCCGTTTGTTTCACCCTGTATGATTTGGTTCAGCTGGTCATTTATAAGTTCTCCATGGATGTCTTTTCAAGATAAATATTTCCATGCTTAAACTGTATACTATTTCGTTTAACTTTTCTTGCTTTTGTTTTTACAAATTGTTGGTGGCAGATCAATTTGTTCCTTCAGCAAGTTCCATACTCAGAAGATACGGATTCGACAAAAGAGAGATTCAGACGCAAACAAATCCAACAAATCCGGCTAACGAGGGTTTGGTGAATCTTGAATATAGCCGTTTGAAGCCTAAGATTGACGCAAATGCTATCAACAGTTCCGATGCCAAATTTGCCGATGCTTCCACCCAGAAAATATCCCCAAGGCATGACCTTGCCATGCTTTTTACTTGCAAAGTCTGTGAAACAAGATCTATGAAGACGTGCAGCAGAGAATCATACGAGCAAGGTGTGGTGGTAGCTCGCTGTGGCGGGTGTAACAATCTCCACCTGATTGCTGATCATCTCGGGTATTTCGGACAACCATCCAGCATTGAGCAATTTCTGGCTGCCCGCGGGGAAGAGGTGAAGAAAGGTTCCGCTGATACGCTGAATCTGACTCTTGAAGATATAGCCGGAAAGAAACCTGGTGAAGGGGCTGAACTTAAGCAATTGGAATAGTGTCAGAGCCTTCGTGTCATGTAGATTAGAGTTTTCTTAAGATAAATGTGTCAATTTTGGGAGTTTTAACGAAACAATTATTCACTTTTAACGAAAATGACATTTTTACTTTAAAAAGTCACTCCTGTTATTATTCACTTGCAACATTTTTCTGTTATTTTGATTAAAACTTAAAGTTTTCAAGGTATTTTTTAGTTTTCCTATTAATTTAATATAGTATATCACTTGTATAAAAAACAATGAAATATAATGCAATCAACTTTAATTTAATGATTTTGATAAAAAAAAAAAACTTCAATTTAATGAATACCCTAAAATTTTAACTTCGATTTGAATTCTATGAAAAAGACAAACACTAAAAAATTTGAGTTATAAATAACTTACTAGACTATATACTCTTGACAATGAGTTAGTAATAATGTTGTTCACATCTCTTACTTATAAGTGAAGAAGAATAGCATTAAATCGTAATACTAAGTACCTATAGCAAATGTATCATGTATGTACTTATAGCAGATGTATGTTAAATTAGTTAATTACATCGTGCTCAATGACTTACATAAGTTAAATCCCCTCCTGATCTTCTAGTAGTTTAGAGAATTTTTTTTTTTTTTTGAGATAAACAATAGCATTTGTGGGTTAAACTTTTAAAAGTCAAGTATTTGGTAGGAATCGAATATCGTTTTGTTGGAAGGAAAAAAACAAAGACATCCATACGGGTCAAGTACTTGAGCTCCATCCGGGTACAATCCGAGCTTATTTAAATACCAGCCGACCGATGTAACTCTGAAACTCCCACTCTCCAACCAGAAAAACCATGGCGAGTAGCACATGTATTCCCTCCACTTTCACACCTATTCTACACAACTTAACCGCCAGAAACTCCATAACAATGGTGGGTTTGCTCTCTCATGCTCCCAAAATCCTCAGGCCTCTCTCTCTCCCCAAAAGCCTCGGTTTCAGCTCACTTTCCACCGCCACAAAACCCCCCAGAAAATTCTTCCATTTGCAAGGTAGTTTCTTTGTTCAATTTTCAAATACCAATCTGATTATTTTATGTGTTTGATTATCTGGTTTGGGGAAAAATCGAAACTTTTTCGGTTTTGTTAATTTGTTGGTTTGAATGTTTGGATAGGTTTGTGTTTGAATTGGTGGTTTTGATGGGTTGAATAGTCGTGTGGTTCGGAGCGGTGTCGAATTGGGTTTGTTTTGTTGATTATTGTTTTTAAGCAACTTGTTTAGCTTGGAGGAGAAGAAAGTGGATTGGATTACATAGGAATTGCAGTGGAAATTAGTGTTGAATGGGAAATGGAAGAATAAGGAGATATGGGATACGGAATTTGGATGCTTTGGTTTGATTTTTTGTAGTAATATTTGCTGTGGTAAAAATAGCTCATTGAAGGAACCATATTGGTATGGATGGAGGTCGGGGATGACTGTTTCTGTTTAAAGAATTTCAACTTTTTTGCTCCAAAAAAAAAAAAAAAAAAAAAAAACCCTTCAACTTTGATATATATGCATACCGGTGTCTGTTAGTATGTTTGGCTCTAAATTTAAAGGAGTGTAGAAGATCGTGTCTTAGAAATTGCTTTTCAATAACCAATAAGTTGGAATGAATCCACTATCAAATGTATAAGAACTGTGAATGATACAAGGAAAATGTGTACTCTTGCAAAATATGTATTAGGAAGCAGCCCGGAAATCAGGTTTTTCCCCCTTTTGGTGGAAGTTTTGCTGATCTTGCCCCTTTTTGGGAAATTTCTTTCAGTTTCTTTGAAACCATCCACTTCCCATGCGGGTGAAAATAATAGTGAGATTAAAATTTCTTGGACTGCACCTAAAATACTGGTTTATCTGGATTCATATTTGGTTTCTTTTACGTCTAAATTTTTGGTTTGTTTCCTGAAAACCTCTGAAAGAGAAAGAATTTAGAATCTTTAACTTTGTTATGAATGAAGCCCAACAGATAATTTCTTCTCTCAACCAAGCCCTATGTTGTTGCTTAGATATGATATAAAAAAGAGACTCTTTTCCCGCGCTCTCTCGTTTTCTCTAAAATGAGCAAGTTTTGATGATTTTACTACAGATTTAATTGTTTGTAAGGAAAGTTACCTCCATACATTGACTGTTATTTCTGTCATGGAATCATGTTCCCTTGCTAGAATTTGTTTGTCCCTGACTAAAGGCATCAGTATTTATTTGTTCTATGATGTTATCATGGGTTTTTTTGTCATTGCAAGGTTGAGCTTGTCAGAATGAATCTTTTTCACTTATAATATGCCTAAATTTTGGTCAGTGAGATCAGTGGCCACTCCAGCAGAAGCTGTTGCCGGGTTTGATGACATGGTTGCTGGGACTCAGAGAAAGTATTACATGTTAGGTGGGAAGGGCGGTGTAGGGAAGACAAGTTGTGCTGCATCACTTGCCGTAAAATTCGCTAACAATGGGCATCCCACTCTTGTGGTTTCCACTGATCCAGCACATTCCTTGAGTGATTCCTTTGCTCAGGTTTATTATGATCTCTTTAATGTTTTAAAGTAGTTGCATTTCCTGTAAAGTAGAACTTAACTGGTTGTAATGTGTATGCATGCGTGTGCACATATATTATAATGATACATGTTTTCTTGTGTTAGGATTTGGCTGGAGGAACACTTGTACCAGTTGATGGGCCTGAAGCTCCGCTTTTTGCTCTTGAGGTATGTGGAGTTAGCTTTCCATATAAGTTTTTGCTAATTTTCTTCACGTAATTCTGTTTCTGCTATTATTTGATGAGATCATCATTATAATGATAATGTAGTTGTTTTTTTTCTTAAGATAGTTTTGTGGTCTTAGTATTCTTATATATGGTGTATGTAGCTAAACTAATAGCTATGCCACAGATAAACCCTGAGAAGGCAAGGGAAGAATTCCGTAATGTAAGTCAGAAAAATGGTGGAACAGGAGTCAAAGATTTCATGGATGGTATGGGCCTTGGGATGCTTTCGGAACAGGTAAAGCTCTATTTGGAGATATTGCAACTTTAGATTGTTATCATCGTTTGATCCTATTTTATGTGGTGTAGACTGTGGATGTCCTTACACCTTAAGGCCTAAGTGATAGGTTGAACACTTGTACAGGCACACATGTATGCTCACTTTATGATCTAACTAGTATAGGGATTTCACATCAGAGCTCTATACCAATATGGATTGATTTATGCTTTATGAAGATTCTTGCTTCTCTTTCACCATATGTATTTCTTTTTCTGGTTGAAGTTAGGAGAATTAAAACTGGGAGAATTACTAGACACGCCTCCTCCTGGTTTGGATGAAGCTATTGCAATTTCCAAGGTATGTATATTTTGGCTTGCCGACATGCACACCATCTTTTTTTTCTCTTCTATTAATGTTTAATCCTCTTTCCAGGTGATACAATTTCTTGAATCCCCGGAATATAGCATGTTTACTCGTATAGTTTTTGATACTGCACCCACGGTGAGAAAATATACTTGCTGTTTTCGTCTTCAATATTTCTTTATAAGGAAAATTAGCTCATTATGACGTGATATTGTTAACAGGGTCACACATTGCGGCTTTTGTCCTTGCCAGACTTTTTGGATGCATCAATTGGTAAAATATTGAAGGTAATTACGTCAACTTAGAATGAATAACTATGGATATGTGTGTGTGCACTGTGCATGGGTGTCTATCCTGTTTTGGAATTAAATGCACCATATGACTTGAGATTTAACTACTTCATTCTAGTTGCATCTTGCAAACATTATAATTTGATTATCTTAGTTGACGAGCTTCTTGAGAAGTATTGTTGGTTAAAAACTGTATGTGCATTTGTTGTTTTTTTTACCTTTTAAATATTTTCATAGATGTTTTAAGGTGTAAATACTAAACACCCGTTGTAACGTATGGATAAAAGCTCTGACAACTGAGGTAGAGCTAGGTGTTGATGCTCAGTATATGGGTCCTTAGTTCTTGAAACTATGGTACTTAATGTTCTGGAAAGTAGAGAATTTGTTTCTGTGAAATCGTTTTTGACTTAAGTGCTTGCAACTCTTCCTTGTATCATCAGTATCTTGGTGTCAACATATTTTTCTGTTTAACCATTAAATGAATACAATTTAATAGGTCCATTATCTTCTTTCAGCTTTGTTATAAGGTTTGCTCCTTCCCAGATAAGTAAGCCACATCTTTTGAACATTCTTCGAAGAAAAATCCTTGGATCACTTGATTTTTAGCTCATTCATCTGTAACTTGAAAGACAAAAAAAATTTACGGCTAGTCTCATATGAATGTTAGCATTCTTACCTGTGTAAAATTCATGTCTAGACATTTTTGCTACTAAGCTTGTTCTCTTGATTTGCAAATGTTTGACATTTTATGTTATCTTTACATGTCCGTTGTACAGCTTAAACAAAAGATATCATCAGCCACCTCAGCGATCAAATCTGTTTTTGGGCAAGAGCAACCCCAATTGGGCGCGGTAAACCTAATGTCGTGAGCTGCTTTTATACTCTGCTATGTATACATGTATGCTAATATATGTAAACTGCAATGCAGGCTGACAAATTAGAGAAACTAAGGGAGAGGATGATTAAAGTCCGTGAACTTTTTCGTGACACTGAGTCAACAGAGTTTGTCATAGTAACAATACCGACGGTAAGATCTTTGGAAAGTATGTCAATTTACTTTCTTTCTGCTGTAATTTGGTGTGTCTTGAGTATACTTTGATAGATATTTCCTTACATGATTCATATTCTACAATGTGGAATCTAATCTTTGTATAAAAGATGGATGAAATTTGCTTCCAATTGATTGTTTGCAATTTTTTCTTGTTCTCTAGGTGATGGCCGTTAGTGAGTCATCTAGATTGCATGCCTCTCTGAAGAAGGAAAGTGTTCCGGTTACTCGACTTATAGTTAATCAGATTCTTCCCCCTTCTGCCTCGGACTGCAAATTTTGTTCAATTAAAAGAAAGGTGTGTTAATGACTCCTTTTACCTTTGGGTAGGAAATATTTTAACTCTCGTTTTAGCATAAGCGTGTGCTTTTGCCTTTTTGTCACGTAAAATGGTGAAGTTCTGTCCAAACCGTGAAAGAAAAATTGTGTTTCAGTATAATGCACTTTCATCTCGTGTGAGTGCGCGTACGAAAATTTTTCATTAGATTTTAATGTGGATCCACACCTTAGTTTGATTTTGTCTGTTCCTTTCGTTTGTTATATATGTTTGGTTGAGTCTGGAAGCAGTGAATTCTAATTAGTTTATCTTCCGTAAACCTCAGGATCAAATGCGTGCTCTTGATATGATCCGGAGCGATACAGAGCTATCCGGCTTGACAGTGATCCAGGCTCCACTAGTTGATGTGGAGATCAGAGGCGTTCCTGCCCTTAGATTTCTGGGAGACATAATTTGGAAATGAACATCTTTTTGCACAGAACAGGAGTACAGTTAATGATAAAAGAAATAACCATTTTTGTTTAACCATTCATTTATCCGATAGCATTCGGTATCTCCAACAATCCGAAAAACGGGTTGATTCGTTTGAATGTTTTCGTTTGGGGACATTAGTTGCTGTTATGTTCCTCGTCTGTAATGGTGTGGCATCCCATTTGGATAAAGTTTGCTTTATCAGTTGGATGCGATTTAGTGTGGTTCGAGGAACCTCCCGGTATTCAGTTCTGTAATGTGAGGAGCTTTCACATTCTAAAATGTTTAGACAAAGTAATGAAGAAAAGGATTATAAAAAAAATTAGATAGGAGTGACTAGAAATGCATCTACGAGCTTTATAATTAAAGACATGAGAGCGGAATTTGCAAATGACTTTATTTACAAATCCCTTGATATGTAATACTCATGTGATGCACTTGCAACATTAATATTTAATTCCTTCTGTTTAATTTTTTGTTACCTATTTCTTTCTTATCTATTATGCCTAAGTATCGCTTAGCTTTTTGAAAGTTCATCACCCAAACACACTCAAAGTGGCAAAAAAAGATGTCTCAATACGAAAATATGTTGTCATCCTCTATTTTCCATTACTGCCACTTTATGTGAAAAAAAACAATACTTTGAGCCAAAAACAAAGGGGAGAAAAATTGAGCAACAATTCAAGGGCCAACCAGTGTCTCACCACATTTGCTTTGCTGTCATTGGATCATATCAAGGAGGTCATCCATTAGTTTGGTCACACGGTAGACACTCTTTGCAACATTTGAGTCGATACCATGTTCAAATTGGTACGCGCACATCCTTGGGGATGAAAGACTTAACCATGACTTCATTTCAGAAAAGACATTATCTGCGCCATTGACACAATATCCATGTTATGAAGTTAATTAATTAGGATTTTCTTAATTAGTTTTAGTTGTTAACGAACTACACGTCATCTAACATGTCATGTAGCTTTCGGATTTCTTAGCAGCGTGTACAACAAATATAAAAAACTTAAGAGTGCAAAATGAGAATTGTAGAGTGCCAATAACAATCCTTAAAAGAAAGACCACATAATCCCCCAAGTAAATATGTATTAATTTAGACCCTTAATGTAGTAGACCAATTACAACGTCACCAAGTTTGAATTCTTGTTTTTCGTACTGCAAATAAATAGATTGTAATATTATCCTTGTAATTATCTTTAAAAATATACCAACTAGCAATGACCAAATTTCAGATCCCTCTCTTGTTATATGAAAGAAAATAAAAATTAAGTGACCAATTATTAAACTAAAGTTAGAGGTTATGGATATGAACCTTTAAGATGAGGAAATGTAGAAAGTACCCAACCAGAGACTCCAGCAGCTGAATTAAGCATTTCCTCACAAACCACAATGATCCGATTGGTCGAATTTCGATCATCTACACCAGCATGCATATGTGACAAGGTCGAGGCCACACTCTGTGCAGCTAGCCTCGTCTTCTCCAATTGCTTTTTGAATACGGGCAAAGGAACTTTGATAAAGTGATTGGTTTTCTCAGCAAGTGTGTCAACGGATAGACAAGTAAAATAAAAGATGAAAAACATGAGATAGTAGGACGACAATTTCATGAACTGACTCATGGCTTTAGGGTTTACCAGAATATATATGTGGAGGATGAGTGAGATCTAGCTAGGGTTCCACTATATATGAAGAAGAATCTCTTATATGAATCTCTTATATGAGTGTGTGTGTGTGTGTAATGTGTGTGTGTGTGTAGTTATATATACAGATAAAAAGAGGTGGCAATGTTCCTTTATAACCTTTTTCTAATAGATTTATTTCCTGTTGAATTTGAAACGTTTCCTTTCAAAGAAATAAAAACCATCGTTCTTTTCTGTTGAAATTGAAACGTTTCCTTTCAAAGAAATAAAACCATAGTTATTTCCTATTGAACTTGAAACGGTTCCTTTGAAATAAAGAAGAATCATAAAGCATTTATAATCTTTAAATGGGATTTCTTTCCTGTTGGTTTCGAGCTCTACAGAAATAAATGGTGTTTCAACACTGCATTAGGGGATTCTGTAAGAAAGGTTACTGTAATTTTAGAAGGATTGTTGTTTGGCATTACAAGATTAGCACAACAACTTAGGTTTTTAGTGTTCCATTACTCCTAGAACTTGTAGTGGAGCTGTACACGTTGTCTTCGTTTGCTTCTCGACACAACAATAACCATAAATGAATTCATATAGAGTCAATTTGACTTTTCAATATTTTGGCGGCTGATGTAAACATTTCAATATAAATTTAATAAAATATCTATGGTTTGACCAAGCAAATAAAGATTACTGTAAAAAGAGGTAAGAAATCTTCTATCTTGTTGACTTCCAAACTGTGATCAAACTTGATCCAATCCTGGTGCGTATGGGACACCGGTGGATGGCAGCCATGAGTCACCATCTATAAACTTGGTTACGGTAAACAATTTGGCCTCGGATGCCTTGGCAATTACATGATAGCCGGGCCACTTGACCCGACCTACAGTCGAGGCACCCCCTTTGTTCATGTACTCCGCATAATATAAAGTGCCAAGCCCACCAAATCCATTCCAATCCAGCCAACCCTCGGGCACTATTACATTACTCATATATGACTGCATGAATATAGTACGTGAATATTTTCCCCATGGTCGACCTAAGTACGTGGGCGAAGAAGCAACATTACCCCCTAGATCGGAGTCCCGCTCAACGTTGCAAAATTGAAATGAGAACCCTGAAGGATCTGCAGCAAATCGACCATGCGCAGTGAGTGTGTTTTGTGCACCTTCAAGATTTTTCCTAGCAAGAATTTTACAGTTTTGGAAAACGGCAGTGCCGTAGCCGAAGATGAAGTCGATGGTGCCACTGATCGTGCATTCTCGGTAGAGCTGGCGACCGGACTGCACCAGCAATGTGTCTTGATATCCACTCATCTTGCACCTGTAGAAAACTGATTGGTCGCCGTAGGATGAAAGTGAAACTGCCTGATACTTATTTGGCCCCGCAGTGTTCTCAAACCCTACGTACATTGCTATGAATCCTTCAGCACGTACAGCTATATAAGGAAATTGATTGATTCACAACAAAAATCAAAGAAGTTGATTAGGATAAATAAGCACATGAAAATCTTCCATGCATAACTTTATTTTATGAGAAATGACAACCAAACACAATTTCCCCCCCTTGCCTATTCCTATTTAAGTATTCAATTCGATGGCAAAAAACAAATAGGGATGTATGAGAGGGAGAAAATTTGTGCTAGATTATCATTTTCCGTTTATAATGTTCTGTAATAAAGTAGATCGCAAAAAAATCTTGTTTTCTTGAATTGAGAATATCCTAGTCAAAGTTTTGATGTCTTACCAAATGTGGCTGAATCAACTGTTTGCCAACCACTAGCATTGCATCTGTTGCCAGATATGGTAGTAACGTCCATGCCCTCTCCAATCAAGACCAGATTAGTCTTTGTGGGATCAATTTTCACATATTCTTTGTAAATTCCTTTCTTGATAAATATCACAAACCGCTGCTGGCTATGACTTGGTGCAGCCGCAATGGCATCCATTATTCGATTAAAATTCCCACTCCCATCCTGAGAAACTGTTACATTTGGCGTCTTGGAAAATTTTGCGTCTTCGAAATTCGTCCCACCGGATAGTAGTAAAGGCTGATCGACATTTTGGTAATCGTGTTGCTGCACTTGGATCATGCCGATGACCTCATCGATTAGTCTGGTCGCATGTTTGAGGCTCTCTGAAACCCTTGAGTCGATACCATTCTTAAAAGCTTCCATGCATGTCATTTCTCTGTAATGAGAAGTATTCAGCCATGTTCTCATATGGGAAACCACATCACCTGCGCCATATAATCAACATTATGAGGCTAGCTAGGTTAATTAGTTTACATGTGTGACATTCACACATGGCACTTATGCAAACAAATAAATCAATGACAAAAATCTAAATAATTAATATGTCTATTGTCACCCACTAGCTAGTTTTTTTTTTTTTAGTATTATATCTTTCTTCAATGTTGAAAAATGTTGAAAAATATCATCTGTTGAATGATCCTCTCTTATGAAAAAAAAGTGTATGCATAGTGAGCGGTTTTCCCCATTTTCTATGTCTCCTCTCTGTTATTTCTTGACCAACTGCCTATTGTTGGGAAGAAGTCTAAAGCTCAAATTTATTACCTTAGACCAAACCTAACGCTAACCCTAGGCTAAATGCTACTTTTTAGATTTTATTCTCCTCTCCCAAAACTCAACCCCGAGCTAAATGTGTGAGCTAAAAGCTAAAAGCTAAATGCCAAATAAAAGTCAAATTCCCCCAGGATTTAATCCAGAAAATGGTGTGGGCACCACCAGTGGACCCCATCCACATGGGCATGTCTTCCAAAATTTATTGAATTCAACGGTTGAGATCGAATATAATCAAATCTAATGGTAAAAAAAAAAAAAAAAAATCTAACGGCCCAAATTTAAATTCAGCGGCTAAAATCATTAAAAAAATTTATTTAACTCAAAATTCACCCAAATTTAGTAATTTTTCAATACTTATCGGAATTTAAATATTTTTAGGTTAAAATGTTCATAAAATTAAATTATGACAGTGTACATTTTTTTAAATTTTATATAAAAATTACTTTAAAAGAAAAAAATTAGCCTAAATTTATTCTTTAATAATTTCGAGCTAAAAAATTTAGGCCAGAAAGGTTGGAGCAGAAAAGTTGTTTCTAGGCTAAAACCTAAATTTTCTGGGTTAAATATTTTAGGTTTTAGCCCAAGGGTTGGAGATGGTCTTATATCAAAGAAAAAAAAAACCAAATAGGAATTAAAATAAACAAATGAAATGTGACAATTATGTACACGAAACCTTTCAAATCATGAATTGTGGAAAGGGACCAATTCAATACTTCAACAGTTTCACCAAGCAAACCCTCACAATATGAAATGATCATATTCGTAGAATTTTTAGCATCTTCACCAACATGCATATGTGACATGGCTGAGGCTACATTTTGCACAGCTTCCATGGTTTTCTCCAATGAATTTTTGAACACAGGCAAAGGAACATCTATCAACTGGGGATCGACATTATTAGCACCCGGGTTAATGGATAGGGAACAGAACAAGATCGTGGAAACGATGATAAATTGGTAGGACGACTTCATGAATGGACTCATGGCAGAATGTATACTGGAAATGCAAATGATGAGAAAATAGGGTTGATGCAAAGAAATGATATATGCACTGAAGAAGGCCCCCTTGTATGTGAACATATATGTGCAGATAAAATGTAGTTGCTAGACACCTTTATGTAAAAAATATTAAAGAGATTCATGCATTGTAGATTGTGATTTATGGTTTATAACAGGATGTGCAGTGTACCATTTTTCATACAGATTTGTTATTGAAACTGAAACATTTACTTCCTTTCAAACCTAGCAAAAACAAATTTACTTCCTTTCAAATAAACATAATTAAAAAGCATTAATTAATTTCTTAGTTACGGTGTTAAAAGGAGGTAGATTTCTTGGATTGGGGGAATCCGGAGGGGTTTGAAAAAAACAAAGAAGAGATAATCCTTTCTGTTAGTTTATAAGTGTATATGCTGAAATGTAATAAGAGTTGAGCTTTAAATGTCAGCCTTTGGATCATAGTCCAAGTGTGCAGCTAAGATGTAATCTTAGATTAAGTGATGGTTTATGCCATGTGTGATTACCTTATAGGGTAAATGAATGAAGGGCTAGATTTAAGTGATGCAATGAAGGAATATTCTTTATTCCTAATTTGCTACATGTGCCAAGAGTGCGTGGGAAATGAAACATCATCAATCTCAGTTTTGTTTCTTATTCAAGCTTGATCTCTCTCTCTCTCTCTCGAATTCTCACTTCCTCTCTCTTAAAACTCTAAATCTCCATTATTCATAGTTTGTTGATTGAAAGAAGCTTACATACAATATCATAGTCTGTATGCTAACATGGTATCAGAGCATATAGAATCATAAGATGATGGCAGACTAATCAATAACTTTTGAACAACCCTCTCTCGAGATAACTCCTCTCCATAACTCCGCATTTGATTTATCAGATCAAATAATTTTGTAAGATAAACAGAAAGTGATTCATCATCTCGCATTCTTGTATATTCAAATTCCCTACGAAGACCTTGCAATTTAACACTTCTAACCTGTTTATCACCATGATACTCGTGTTGCAGAATATCCCACGCGCCTTTTGAGGTTTCTTCATGAGAGATTCTGGGAAATATCTCGTCTGAAACGGCTCCTTGAATCAGACCCAGAGCTTTAGCATCTTTCATCAGTCTCTCGGCTAGAGGTATCTTCTCAATACTGCTCGATTCCTCATTTTCTTTCTTCTTTCCATCAGATTCACCATCATCCTTCGAATCTGAACTTTCAAAGCCTTTCTCAACTAGATCCCACAGCCCGTGAGATTTGAAAATTGTTTTCATCTTAATACTCCAGAACTCATAATTATCACCTTTGAAAATCGGTGCTCTCACCTCACTACTACCCGATCCTGCCATGTTAGAATCAGATCACAATCGACTTGATTTCTGGGTAGCACTCTTCACAGATCCAAATGCCCAGTATTAATTGATTAGTCTGCCATCATCTTATGATTCTATATGCTCTGTTATTGAACATTAGAAGGATTTTGATGTGATTGAGGTACAAGAAGTAGTAGCCTCCTTGAAGAGTTTTGAGTTACGACTAGATAGACATTTTGAACACAAAATTGAGAAGGCATTTGCTTGTCTCAATGTGAATCCCAAACCAGCAAATTCACTGGAAATCAGAATGCAAGGTACTATAAGAATTGGAAAGAAAAAGGGAAGAAGTGGGATAACAAACCCACTGATGGTGCTAGAAATCCTTGTAAACATTATGACAAGTTACATTTTGGTGAGTGCCGATTCAAAGGTGAACCAAAGTGTTATAACTGTGATAAGTTTGGTCATCTTGCAAGGGATTGTAATAGCAAGAAACCAGTGCAACAACTCAATTATGCAAATAAGGTAGAATCTACACCCACCATGTTTTATGCTAGTAAGCAAACTAATACTAGTGTAAAGAGTTGTGATGATGTATGGTATGTAGATAGTGGGTGTAGTAATCATATGACTGGAAGGGAGGATTTACTTGTGGATATTGATAAGAATGTAACTGCAAAAGTTGAAATGGGTACTGGACAGCTTGTTGATGTAACTGGTAAAGGAAGTCTTGTAGTTGAAACTAAACTAGGCAAAAGATATATCAAGGAGGTTATGCTTGTGCGTGGACTGAAAGAAAATTTGCTCAGTGTGGGTCAAATGATGGAGCACGGTTATTATTTGGTGTTTGGAGGTCACAAGGTGGAAATCTATGATGACAGTTCATACTCCAACATGGTTGCTAGAGTTCCAATGAAGGGAAATAGAAGTTTTCCACTGAAATTACAGTCTGGAATACATATTGCTTTCAAGGAAAACATATGTTTCTCTACTGCTATGTGGCATAGAAGATTGGGACACTTAAACATGAGCAGTTTGAAATTGATGCAGGAACAAGAAATGGTAGTAGGGTTACCAGAAATCAAAGTAGTCAAAGGAGTATGTGAAGGTTGTGTTCTCGGTAAACAATGTAGAGAAGCATTTCCAAGGGAAGCTATTACTAGAGCATCAATTCCTCTAGAGCTTGTGCATAGTGACATTTGTGGCCCGATGCAGACAACTACAAAAGCTGGAAATAGATATTTTCTCACCTTCATAGATGACTGTACCAGGATGGGTTGGGTTTATTTTTTAAGGCATAAATCTGAAGTTCTCAGTGTGTTTAAAAAGTTCAAAGCTACTGTAGAGTTACAGAGTGGATATAAGCTAAAGCAACTTAGGAATGATCGAGGAGGTGAATACACTTCAATGGAGTTTAACAGGTTTGTTGAAGATGTAGGCATGGAAAGACAACTTACCACTCCATACATACCATAACAAAATGGTATGGCAGATCGAAAGAACAAAACCATTGTGGAAATGGCTAAGTGTCTCATGTTGGAGAAGGACATCCCACTTGAATTTTGGGTTGAGGCAGTTAATACCTCAGTGTATATTCTGAATAGATGTCCAACCAAAGCTTTACAGAAGAAGACACCTTTTGAAGCTTACAGTGGGAGAAAACCAGGAATTAAGCATCTAAAGGTGTTTGGTTCTTTGTGTTATGCTCATGTGCCAAGTCAACAGAGACAAAAATTCGATTTGGCAAGCAAAAGGTGTATTTTCTTGGGGTATGGTAGTTGTTTGAAGGGATATAGACTCTATAACATTGAATCTGGAAAGGTGACTATTTCCAGAGATGTTGTGTTTAATGAAGAGGCATGTTGGGATTGGAATGCACAGAATGAAAGAAAGGTGAGTATCCAGATTATTGAGGTGTCTGAAGGAGAACAAAGCTATGAAGGAAGTGCTTGTGATTCTGAAACACAATGTGAAGCTAGTGAAGAGAATGTTGTGCCAAGCTCAGTTACTGAAATCTCTGATCAAGAAAGAATGACAGGTCCACAAGATATTGATCACACTCATCTCAAGTACAAAAATATTGTAGAAATATATGAGAAGTGTAATCTGTGCATTATAGAACCAGAATGTTTTGAAGAAGCTGCCAAGGATGAATCATGGCAGAAGGCTATGAAAGATGAAATTTCTATGATTGAGAAGAACCATACTTGGGATCTTGTTGATAGACCATTTAATAAACCAATCATTGGAGTCAAATGGGTTTATAAAACGAAATTAAATCTGGATGGTTCAGTGCAGAAAAACAAAGCAAGGTTGGTTGCAAAGGGTTATTCTCAGAAGCCTGGAATCGATTTTAATGAAACTTTTGCACCAGTGGCAAGACTTGACACTGTGAGAACTTTGGTAGCTCTTGCTGCACAGAAAGGATGGAAGTTATTTCAGTTAGATGTAAAGTTTGCATTTCTAAATGGAGTGTTGAATGAAGAGGTGTATATGGATCAACCATTTGGTTTTGTTATACAAGGAAAGGAAGACAAAGTGTACAGGCTCAGGAAAGCTTTATATGGCTTGAAACAAGCTCCAAGAGCTTGGTATGAAGAAATAAATTCCTATTTTGCAAAAGCTGGATTCCACAGAAGTCCGAGTGAAGCTACACTTTATATCAAGACATCTCACAGTGGCATTCTCATTGTGTCACTATATGTAGATGATATTATCTACACAGGAAGTTCAAAGGAGATGATGGCTGAATTCAAAAGTGAGATGATGAGACAATATAAGATGACTGATCTAGGATTACTTCATCATTTCCTTGGTCTTGGAGTACTGCAGATAGATAGTTACATTTTCTTGCATCAAAAGAAATATGCAAAGACTTTGCTTGAGAAATTCGGACTTAGGGATTGCAAGCCTGTTGCAACACCATTAGCTATGAATGAAAAACTTACAAAAGTAGATGGAAGTGATCTGGCAGATGAGACTTTGTAGGCAAATGGTGGGAAGTTTGCTATATTTGACAGTAACAAGGCCAGATATCATGTTTGCAGCAAGCCTATTGGCTAGGTTTATGCACAATCCTACCATGAAGCATATGGGGACAGCTAAGAGAGTTTTGAGATACATACAAGGCACTGTAAACTATGGAGTTGTTTATGAGAAGGAAAAAAGAGCAGTGTTGGTTGGTTACTATGATAGTGATTGGAGTGGAAGTGAAGATGATATGAGGAGTACATCTGGCTATGCATTTAATCTTGGTTCTGGTGTGTTCTCTTGGGCCTCAATCAAACAAAGCAGTGTAGAGGTAGAATACATCAGTGCAGCAGAAGCTACTGCACATGCCATTTGGCTAAGATTTGTACTCTCTGATTTCGGGGAAGAACAAGCAGAACCAACTAAGTTGTTGTGTGATAATACTTCAGCAATTGCCATATCAAAGAATCCAGTTCATCATCACAAAACCAGGCACATTAATCGGAAATTTCATTTCATCCGAGATGCACTTCAAGATGGTGAGATTGATCTGGTATACTACAAGACTAAAGAACAGGTTGCAGATATATTCACTAAAGCTTTGGCAAGGGATCGATTTGAATTACTGAGGACAGCTTTGGGAGTGATTTCAGCACATCACTTAGAAGGGAGTGTTAGTTTATAAGTGTATATGCTG